GTTTCTGTTAGCTGCTGTCGAGGTTGGGGGGGGGGGTTGCTGAGCTCCTCCTGCCCCTCCAGCGGTTAAGTTTAGTCCTCTCTTTGGATGGGTGGGGGCTCTTGGGGTGCCCCCCAGCAGCAGTGGGGTGCGCCCAGCACAGCACCCCGGGCAATCAGATCCGTCTGCTCCTCAAGATTGCAGTTTGCTCTCTGCCTCTTCCCTCCTCCAGTCACCTTTAAATGCATCTTTTACTGCAGCACCACATTATATTTGCAGATCATAAAATCCACCTCTCGCGCGCACCAAGACCGTCCTGACATTACTGTTTTATGACCTTGACTTATTGTGGTCACCTGGATAATATTTAAATCAACGTTATGGTCTCTCACTTACATTAAACCCGCCAAGAGACGTTCTAGAAAGGCTCTAGGAGATGAGTCAAACACAAAACACACACATCCACACACTCAGCCTCTTCGGGGGAGGGGGTGTCGCTAAAAACACTAAAAACAAAAAACCACCCATTTGAGGATTATGATTCTGGAAATTTATTAGGATTTTTTTTCTCCATTAAGGAAGCTACATGCAAAAGATACAACATACAGAATATCTTTAAATAACACAACTCCCAGACAGGGACGGGGCAATATTGGGGGGGGGGGGCATTCTGTCTTTGCTTTGCTATGTTCTGTTTTAAATTTTTTTGTTCCTCTGGATGAAATTTCTGAGATGTTAGTAGATGGAGGACGTGGGGGTGCTGGGAGGGGTGGGAGAAAAGCAGAAAGCAGTACAAATACGAGACTTCAAGCAGATTCTCAGAGCGACTGGGAGGTAAAGATACGGAGAGGGTTTGGTGGAGGCTCTGGGTGCTACGACAAACACAGGAACACTAGCCGAACTTTCCAAAACGTCTATTATTCTAAGGAGGAAATGCAGCAAGGAAGGAACAATTCTGCCTGTGCTCTGCGAGATTTCAGACCCTCTCTGGTTAATTTTTTTTTCTCCTTTCCCCTCAAGCGGGTGGATTCGATCTTAACTTCGCATGGAGAACAGAATGCTCTGTGTGAGTGCGTGGGTGAGTGAGGGTTTGACACACACACCAGCCACACTCCCACCCCCATCTATGAGGGCACACACCACACCCCACAACCCAGCACCCCATTTCTCATGCTTTAAGTGGAAGCATCTTCGAAGCACGAACCATAGGTCCCTTGGAAGGAGAGTCTGAGGTCTTTGCCTTTTTTGCAGGCGCGTTGCATTTATACTCAGGGAGGAAAAAAAAAAAAATATCACCAGGCACAAAGGGAGGAGGGGCGGGGAAAAGAAGGAGGGGGAGGGAGGAGGAGAGGCCGCGCGCTCAGGTGAAATTAAAATTGGAGGTCAGTTCCCGGATCCGATTCTCTCGGTTCATTTTCTTGAGTTTCATTCTGCGATTTTGAAACCAGATTTTGACTTGTCTGTCTGTAAGGTTAATGGTCTTGCTAATCTCCAGGCGGCGCTCTCGCGTCAAATACATATTGAACAGAAATTCTTTCTCCAATTCCAGCGTCTGGTGTTTAGTATAGGGGCACCTCTTCTTCCTTCCGCTCTTTGCTGTCAGCCAATTTCCTGTGGTGTTTTCTGCCTTTATCTCCTCTGTTAAAAATAACATTATTTACATAAGTATCCCTCGAAGACGAAAACCCTCTTAGTGCTGCAGCCTTTGCCAGCCTGCTGTGGGGTGGCTGAGGGAGGACAGGGGAGCTGCTCTTGCCCCAGGGGCCTGGCTGTGGGCTCCTCTGATGCTCAGGGTTCTTACAATTGCTTTGGGGTTTAGACTTAGGGAGATAAAGGGAGGAAGTTCTTGCCTCCAAGTGTTTACTATATTTAAATTAGCCCAAGTTCATCTTAACCTAAAAGATCCTGAGTATCCTCATTTTCCCCCAGCCGGCTGACCCTGGCAGATTCCCTAAATCTTACCAGGTCTCCCCTTCTCTCTGCTCCATTCCAGGTCTGGAAAAATCCAGCCAGATGGAAAAGCATTTTCCAGGCCCCAGACCAGAGCAGAGTCCACCCACAGCACAGAGAAATTCCCAGAGAGCTTTGACCTGTTTCAACTCACTGAAGGGACTTTGTTCCAGGATCTGTGGCCAGAGGCCACTGCAGTGGTCCCTGCACTGGGCCCCCAGCTCTAACCCCAACCTGAGCTGCCACAGAGTGACTCTGCTTCCTTAACTCTCTCACTGCCATCTCTTTCTCTCTTAATCATTTCCCCCAGGTATGTGCAGCTGAGGCAGGGGAGCTTGTGAGAGCAGCAGAGGTCAGGGGAAACAGAGCTGGGGCATCCCAAGGGGTTCTCAAACAACTTTTCTGGCCAAAGGATCTAAGGTCAAGGGAGAGACATATCCTGAGGAAATGCAGCCTCCTAGAAACCCCCTGCCCAGTCTGTGCATACGTAGATATGTATGCCTGCAAGTACATATGTGTACCTGCGGAGATACACACACGTATACACGTAAGTACACACTCACAGATACGTACACGTGTCTATTTATATAAGGAGAGTCTATAGAATACTGTGTATTTCCCATGATCTTGACAGCCCCTCTCCCTGACACACATTCTTGCTGAAATGGACCAGCCTTCCTTCTCAAGCAGCAGAAGGGAACCTGATCATCTTTTTAAGGATAAAACACAGAGTCCAAAGACCCAAGAGGGCACCCAGCAAAGGACCCTGCTGATGGCTCTGAGCTCTCTCTCCTCCCTATGCCAAATGAGGCTGTCAGGTTCCTCGATCTTGTCTTGATGGGGATGGGTTGGGGCAGTGGCCTAAGAGGGACCAGAAAACACACAAAAAATGCAAACTTGAGGCTGCAGTCTAAAGAATCTGAATGTCCTTAATTTTCTCTCCTGCCTCTGCACCTGCAGCTTCTTGCCAGATTGTTCACAGGCTCTCCACATCTAACTATGTCCTATTTAATTTCTTAATGGGGTTGTCAGGTTTGGAGGTGGGGGGGGGCAAGAGAAATTATAAATGGGGAAGTTTAGCCAAAAGCTCTCTTGCCTTTGGCCTGGTAGAGACACCAATACACGACGAGGGGAAAGAAGGGTACAGACAGGGTACAGGGTAAGAGGGATTCCTTGGGGTGGGAGGGATTAGGTTGTCGTGGGGACAGCTAGAGGAAAAGGAGAACATGTGGGAATGGGTGCAGGTCGAGTTAAGAAGTGAACTTGTTAACCTTGACTTTGCTTTTGGTAGGGCTAGAATGCAGCTTTTCCTGCCCCAAATCTGCTCCCTAACCAAGCTCAGGGTCTGTAGAGAGGGTGTAAGATGAAAACCTTCACACTGTACATGTGCCACAGGAAAGCCTTTGAGGCCGTGGGCACCTCACTCTCCCCCTCATCCTCAGGAACACACCCATGCTCATCTTCAGTCAGTGTCTCTACGGGGCTGATTTGCCAAGGCCACCTTTGCAGACTCAAGAGGATGAGGCTCTGCCCTTGCCCGCCAAAAGAATGCTTGTGCGTGTGAGCGGGCATGCGTGAGTGTGTGAGGAGCATGCAATATGGGTGTGTGTAAGTGTGACACAGGTCGCCCGTAGGCATGCGTGTGCGTCGTATCCATATACAAAGCACCGGGAGATCCAGGCCGCCCCCTGCTCCGCTCTCCATATTTCATCTACCTTTACATCCAATGAGCCCCTCACATACTGTCGCCAGTAGCCAGGGTTGTGGGGAACAGGTTTATTCTTCCCCGTTGGTTGGGCCTTTTTCTGATGCTCTTTGCTTCAACTTTTCAGGAAAAGTCGTTTCCCCTCAGCTTCCCTCCCCTGCCCCCGTTCCCTCCAGGTTCTTTCCGAAAGTGTCAGAGAAAGATCCTGAAGGCCCCCAGCTCCCACAGCAGAAATGAATCTTGAACCCTGAGCTTGAACTCTGGCTGGGCTTTCTCTCTCCAACCAAAATTACAATGAAATCCAACCAAAGCCACATTCTCTTTCAGGAGAAAACCTCTTGCCACGCACGCAGAAATTTCCCAACCACTCATTTGTAAGCTGTTTTTGGAAACCAATAAAAAAAGATAATTTAACTAGAAAAAAAATTAAAAGAGGAAACAGAAAACTTACAACATTCCAAATGCCCTGTTCCAACGCCATCCAAACCAGGCATCTGGAGGAGGGAGGGACGTGCGGGCAGCCCTTCACCTCCACCTCTTCCGGCCCCAGCCTCGCTGCCCAAGGCCCCCGGCCGAGCCAAAAGCCTCAGGAGCCCAAACCGCACGCACAATCCAGACCCACAAACAACAAATCGAGTTTCGCAGGAAACAATTTTCAACTGGGAAAACGCAGTAAAGAGAAACCCTTCATCTCCCCAGCCTGCTCTAGTCCCTGGCCCAAGAACGCCATTTTAAGCTTTTTGCAAGCCTCTGACTCGAGCTGGGGGACATCAGCTCCCCAGGACACCAGCATTGAGAAAGCAAAGCACAGTCAGCACGCGCCCAGGAGCAGCCACCCGTCCCGGGCAGCACACTGCGGCTGCAGGCTGCCCGCGGTGCGCACCGCCCGCGCATTAGCACCCCCGGCCGGGGCCGGGCCGGCACCTCCACGTCGCCGCTTACCTTCCCTAGCTAAGTGACGCGCCACCAGCCTGGAGCTCAGCAGACACTAGTCTCAAGCCGGGGTCGCATTCCCGAAATCGTCAGGGGCCTCCTGGGCCCAACCCTCTCCCCGGCCGCGAAAAGACCAAGTGCCCGAACGTCCCAGTGGCGCCCGCGGCCCAGGCGGCCTTACCTTTCGCTTCGTTATCCGAGGTGTCTGGGCTGGAGTCGGCAGTTTTGGCCCTCTCCTTTTCGCTCTCCGAGGGGCTGCCTTTTGGGCCCGCCAGGCTCTGCTCCGTCTTGATCTCATTGGGGCTGGGGGTCTGGCTGTCGGACTTGGGGGTCTCAGGGAAACTCACTTTGCCCCCCAGCTGAGGCGATTCCAGATGTTCGGCGCGCGGGTTGAGACTGGCCCGCTGCTCGAAAGGGGCTTCGAAGTCGTTGGCCCCGGCACAGTGGGGCGTCTTGTCCAGCGCCGAGTAGCTCGGGCTGGCGCGGTAGTAGCTGGGCACGGGTACCTCGTGCTCCCCGAGGCAGGACTCCGGCAGGGGGTGGGAGTAGAGAGCTGCCTCGGGGCCACTTTTCGCCCGCTTCTCTGCGCTGTACATGCAGCAGACATTCTCCTCCTTGACACTAGGTGGGTAGGAGCAGGAGGACAGCGGCCTGCCAACAGGTTGTTCCAGGCGATAGGCGGCTTTGGGGTCGCCCCAGGAGTCCAGCTGCGAGAGGTAGGACGGATAGGTGTTGAGGGCGAGGCTGGGGCTGCCGCCCTCGTCCCTCTTGGAGAGCGAGGGCGCGAGCCCGCAGCCCCTCATCACCCCGCAGTTGAAGTCACTCCCAGATTGCATATACATGCCTGCGCTCCGGCTATAGCGCTCTCCTCCGCCCGGCGCAGCCAAGGGCTCCGCGTACGAGTTCGGAGTTACATTGCGAGGGCATGTCATTTTCAGAGAGAGGGGTTTTTAAGGAGCAATACTACAGCGGAGGAGCTGACATCTTTTTTTTCCCCCATCCGGGAGGGGGGGGGCGCGGTTGGAGGGGAGGGAGGAAAAAGAAGGGGAGGGGGGAAATATCAGCTCCATAATTATCCGTGCATTCGGTTCTCACCATGTGACGGCTAGACCAATGGGATTTGAAAATGGCCTTGATGATTCAGACGGCCGTGACGTCAGCGGGGTCAAGTTGTCGGCAGGCGGAGCGCGCAGAGTGGAGTAACAGCGCCACCTAGCAGCGGCCTCGGGGTAGGGGCACCGGAGCCCTTCGCCGCGAACAAAGGAAGCGCCCCCCGGGCGGCAGGGGCGGTAGGGGGGTGGAAAGGGTTGGGGGTGGCGGTTCTGGGGAGAGTGGGGTTTGTTTACCCGGGAACCAGCCTGTAACTCCTGGGGAGAAGGGGGCGGAGAGGGGGAAAATGCGGGAGAGAGGGAGAGAGCGAGGCAACCGGGCTCAAAACAGTCAAATTCAAATTAAAAGGTCGAGACACGTATCAGGTACTTCTCCCCCCTCTTCATCTCCCTTTTTCATCTCCCCGGCCCCTGCCCCCACTTCTTCCCTTGGGGGTGGGAGTGGGGCGAGGTTTTTTGGGGGGGCGGTGGGGGATCTGATGAGCAGAGAAAGGGGAAAAAAGTTAAGGAATCCCAAACAGGACTAAAGTTTCTGCTCTCCCGCCTCCGCGTTCCCCGGGCTTGGCCCTCGGGGCGGGAAGCTTAGGGGCCGCGGCGCTGGAGTCGGTGGAGTTGCAAGTTCCTGTGGGGGTGACGGGGAGGGCCAGGGAGGGGGTCACGGTCACTTCACGGCTGCTAGGGAAAGGAGGTTCCGAATGGACGCGGGGTAATGGGAGGAGGAAGCCAGAGACCAGAGGCACCCGATCCCCGACCCGGGAGCTGCGGCCTGGGCCTGGCAGGGTGGCGGGTCCTGGGTCACCATCTCAGGGGCCCGCAAGGCTTTGGCCTTGGAGTCGGTTCGGCGGCTTTACTTCGGGCCCTGGCGGCCCTCGCTCTCCGCTTGACCTTGCCCCCACTAAAACAGGGAATCTTCCGGGAAAGAAAGAGGGAACCCGCGGAGCCTCGGCCAGTTTGGAGGAGTCACGTATCACACGGGAAACCAGCATGCAAGACGCAACAAAACTCGACCCAGAGAAGTGTCTTTTACAGAGCGAATGGGCTGGGAGCATGTTTGAAAGAAGACAGGCCAGTTTATTTTTGTGGTTGTTTTTAAATAAAAGGAAGAAATCAGGGGAACCGTATGTTTCAAATAGTTCTTTCCGTTTCTCCATCGCCTTCTTCCAAAGCGAACTAAACTCTCCACCCCTTCCTCAGGAAACGGAATCTGGAGAACAACTTGTCTTTCCGGTCGCCCCACATTTTTCCCTGGACAGAGCCTGGGGTTCAGACTTTCCAAAGCGCTGGAGCCTGGCGGGGAAAGGACTGGAGCCCAGCGCCCTGGCATGGAGGAGTGAGGAGGCTAGGCAGCTTCCAGGGAGGCCCAAGCCCGCTGCTGCTAAAAGACTGCGGAAAGAAATCCGCGGAATTCCCCCATCCAGGGGTGGAGAGAGAAGACGCAGGGGTTCCTGAACCTCGGGAAACCAGGAAGGAAATGTGGAGTGTGCGATTTGCTGGCAGGACCGGCCAGGGGAGATTTGGAATGGTTTTGTATTTTCATTTGCAGGGTCACCGTGGCCTCAGTATGGGGGTTATCCAGGGCAAGGTTAGGCTGTTTAGGCCCCAGACGAGACTTGGGACAGTCTGGGCAGCAGTCAATCCAGGGAGCCATTTGTCCCACCGCCCATCCCGCGGGAAACGGGCGAGACTTTATGGCCACTCTGTTTGTATTATCTGCATAAGTCTTTCTCCACCAGTTTGATCGAAACCGTTCCCTTTTACGAGGACCCAACGAAAATTTCCCGTCATATTTATCAGCCAGGGATAAAAATTTAGTATGGGAACTGATATTTCCTCATTTATGGGACGATGAAATTAAATACCAAAGCAATTGAGAATTATATGGCTTTGGGGGTTCCCTCCCCCCTCTTTCACGGCTCCTTTATTTTCCTGCCTGGTGTGCCTTTCCCAGGAGTTTAGTGTCCCAGTTCTCTACCCTTACTCCCCATTTTGGAGTCTGGTGGGACCTTTTCCCCACGGCCAAGTGCCCCTCGGCCACCTCAGCCTTTCCTGTTTTTTCTCTGAATGTTAGTAGCTGAGGGCCAGGGCAGCGCTACCCGAGCCTCTGCCCAGGCCAGCCAGGCCAGGCTGGGATCAGAGAAAGGTTTGCAGGGAAGAGCGTCAAAGGATTGGAGCCAAGCCTGGGGAGGGGGTGAAGGAGATAAACTTCAGACAAGCCCCAAGGCGTAGCCAGGGGAACCAGCAGAAAGGGAGCAGCAGAACCGTCGGCCTCAGGGGCCCCACCAGCCCACCTTCTCTCCAAGCCCACCTCTCACCTTAGCCAAGGGAGAGGACGGAGTCGCTTCGGAATCCTTGCCATTATCAGTGAAAATAATACTCCCGGGAGAAGGAGCCTCCCGCCTCGACTCCCACCTCCTCACAAGAACGAATAGTGTTTAAAGTTGAAATAATTAGAAGTATGATAAACACGGCCCATTAATGAAAAAAGAAATCAAATTCATCAGCCTAAGTGGGACCCCCGGTGGGACAAATGTTTGCCTCTAATTACGCAAGATAAACGAAAACCCGGAGCTGTTAAACTAGAGCCCGCTCGGACGCAGACCTGAATAACTTGTTGGGTTTTCACAGACTTTGGGATTCTGCTTCAGTGGAGGTAAAAGGAAGGAAAAAGTGAGTGTTGGAACCTGGCGAAGGGAGCATTTGTGCGGCTCCGGGTCCCAGCCCTGCCCCCTTGGGCTCGGTCTTTCCCGAGGCCACGAGCAAAGGCTGTTCCCGTCCTATTGTCCGCGCCTGGCGTTCAAAGGCATGCGGGCCGCCACAGCCACCCCGCCTGCCGCCACTGCCAGGCACCCACCTCCCTGCCCCACAGGGCCAAGACCCTTCGGCCTGTGTCCTTGGCAACTGAATGGGGAACCAGGGGAAGTCTGTGTTGCTAGAATCACCCACCTATGGACTGTTATTAATCTATTTCCCCAACTTTCCCAGAGTGCCGAGAGACCTGTGCCTACGCCTAAGTCTGGGGCTCCCCCTTCTTACCTCAGCTTGGGCACATGAAAGTTCAGGGCTGCAGGCCACAATGGGGCTCAGACTTTGCGTTCCTCCTGACAAATTCCACCCACCCCAGTGCCCTGGCCCCTTTCACCCTTCCTGGGTACCCAGGTCCTGGAAAGGCAGCAAGGACGGGGCTGGGCCTCCTTCCGCCTGTGGGGCTGTGAGCATTGCAGAGGAGGAGGGTTCAGGAGCTCCGTGAATACTCCGGGAGGAACCAGCGGGTTCCACAGGGCAGCCCAAGGGCTGGGGCGCTAGGGGTCCCCACATGAAAGCAGAAGGAAAATATGCTCAATGAACAAAAAGGGACTTTGGTTACTTTCCTGGCTGTAGCCCTCAACACACCCCAAGAGCACCCTGGATTCTCCAGCAAAAATGTTCAGAATTTCCCCAAGAGGTTAAGAAAGTCACCTGGGAAATTCTGAAGATGAAGTGAAAAAGGAAAAAGGTCTTTCCCTTTGGGGTTATATAATAAAATAAAAATAAAGTGTGTGTATTGAAATCTTTTTAAGCCGAGAAAACAGAATCACACCAGAGATTACAGGATTTTTCCTCTTGCTTTGGAGGCCGAGATAAATCCTTCTCTTCCTAAAACTTGAGAAAAAGATTTGCTTTTCTTCTTCACTAGCACCAGGCTCTGCCCCAGCTGAATTGAAAGCAGGGAAATTCCAGGCAAAATTCAGAATGCCCAGAGACCCAGAAAAGTAAAATATTTACAAACAGGTACTAGAGGGAGGTGGGAGGCTGAGGACCCTTAGCGGGGCCTCTGGTCTGCTCTAGACTTCACAGCCTCCGGGGCAGCTCGGCCAACAGAAGCTCTCACATCTGGACATTGTACACACTTGCACACAGATACTACGGAGTTCAGCATCTATACACGTGTCTAACTTGCACTTAAATGTGTGTACACAGCCACAAATATTGACTTTTACCCAAAGCGCTGTCTGAGATCTCTGAATCCCAAAGCCTGATACCCCGCGCCAACCTGACTGCTTCCTGGCCCTGCCGAAGCTAGCCAGTTATTTAATTTTTGTCCCCTGAATTGAAACCAGACCGCAGACACCTCCGAGGGAAGCTTTGGGGGAAGGAGACAGGTGGAAAGATGCCTTAGGGGGCAGGCCCTGCTCCCCACTTTAATGGTTTGCTTCTAAGTTGCCCCAGTATGTCAGGTTTCTAGCGAGTCAGGGCTGTGGTTAGGCTGGCTTGCTCCGGAGAAAAATACCGATCCTTTCTTACCGGTTAATTTCCTTCTCAAAGATCTCTGTTTGCCTTCCTTTCCTTTCTTTTATCCCCCCCTTTTCTCTTTCTTTTCTTCTTTCTTTCTTCTTGTTTTGTCCTTTTTCCTCTTTATTTGCTTCTTTCGGTTTTTCTTTTTCTTCCTTTCTCCCTGTAATTCATTATTTCCTTCTTTTTCCAATCCTATCTCAATTGTCTTCCTTACTTCCCACATTTCCTCGTTTCCTTCTTTCTATATTATACAATTCAATCTTTGCTCCTTTTTTTTCCTCACCAATTATTTCCTTCCCCTTGACTTTCTTTCCTAAGATTTCTTATTTTTCTCTGGTGTGCTGGGCTTAGCGAAGGGGACAGCACCAGGCTCAGTCGCATGCCTCCCCAGCCTAGCTGCTAAGGCTTGGAGTTGACCTTCTCCCGCCTACAGCCTTAGCTCAGCTCCACCTCACAAGGCGAAGTGTAGGACTGCCAGCCGCCAGCAGCCAGGCCCCAGCAGTCATCATTAGGGCAGGAAAAATCGGATTCTGGGGCACATTCCCACGAATACTGATGGCTTCTTGAAGTGCCAGGATTCAGGAATCATATATCTTCACTTCCATCACCCCAAAGGAGCCTTGTCTACCAGGCCTACCTTTGGAGAAGTCGTCCCATCTTTGTCCTGACCTCCAGAGCTGAAACATTAAAATGGCTCCAAAGTTGAGCCCAGTTGGCGCTCCCAAGGCTGGAGTCAGGGGAAATGAGCGAGTGGGATTCTGTCAGTCCTAGGCTGAAGGGCAGATCCGGGGGTCATCCGTGGGCAAGGCCATCTCCCACATGGCTGCCTTTGTTCTCTGCTCCTGGACTGCAGCCCTGCAGGCCCTCTGTCTCCTTTGGTCCTGCAACCACTGCAACCTCTGGCAGGAGTTTCTTGGTGTTTTGGATTCTTTCTTCAAACCCATTGTTGACTTCACAGGCGGCAGGCAGGCATGCAGGGCTGTGTGTGCAGAGACCCTCCCCAGTCAGCAGTCTGAGTCAAGGTTATGGGTCTCTGCTTTGTGCAGTGGGTTAGAAGGGGGAGCGTGCTGAGATGCATGTGTGTGTGTGTGTGTGTGTGTGTGTGTGTGTAGACAGAGAGAGAGACAGAGAGAGAGAGAGAGAGAGAGAGAGAGAGAGAGAGAGAGAGAGAAGTGCCTGCAGGAGAATGAGAGGGTGTAATGAGCGAAGATCTTGCCATGCTGATATTGTCCCAACTTTTGGAGTCTGTAAGAGTGTGACTCAAGAGCAGAGTGGACAGGACTCTGTACAAAGATGCCCCAAAACTGAGTCCAAGATGAGCCTCAGGAAGGACTGACTCAGACTTTCAAGGCTTTTTGCCTTAGACAGAGAAAGACAGCGTCATTCACTCCCTTCCCTGCACTGTCACCCCCCTCAGCCCCTCTCTCCCCTGCCTCTCAAAGACTTGAGATTTCATCCTATGGCAAGACCAAAACTTTTAAGCTTTTTTTTTTTTTTTTTTAAAGGGATGGGGAATCTTGTAAAATTTTTATGCCAAACAAAGTTATAAAAACTTCCCGGGCGTTGCCTTTTCCAAAGGTTTATATGAATGATAAAGAGTGTAGTCGCGTGCACTGGTTCTGGCGGGCTCTGAGTAGGGAGGGGTTAGCAAACAGCATTATCCAACCTTGGGGCACCAGAAAACCCCAGTGGCTGCCCCCTTCAGGGAATACTGGCCCAGAAACAATTGCCCTACGGATTCCTGAGAGAGGCGGGGAAAGCGAAGGGGTGGTGCCCTTGACTCCCTTGAAGTTCAAAGTTCTTCTTTGCCCTTAAGAGAAGAGCCCTCTCTGCTC